AAAAAAGGGTGTTTACACTAACACTTATAATGTTGCTTTACTCTTCCCTTCCCTCTTTCTTTACCAAGACTAGCTGTATACGTATTGTCTACGAGCTCACGAAATCGGGAGATGAAACTTTGTTGATCACCTTTCAATCCGCAGCCAAACAGTCTTCGTGTCCTGCGTTAACAGAGACTCAAATTGAAAGGTTAAAGGTCAGGAAGAGCCTAACTTGATGTAACGGGCCAGCCTCGAAGCCATGGCAGTTGTGGCCTTTTTTACGGCGACTTCCCCTTTGTCAATGGGGTTCTTTTATCTCCATCGACTGGCTGACAACAACACCCCCTCTGAGTTCTCCGGCAGGTACAAGCAGCAGATGAAACGAACAAGTATTTCTCAGCTCGTCTATAGGAAAGCAACCAAAGAGGATGTCGTCTCGACATCCACGATCATAGGAAACCCCGACAACATCCAGGAGTTTGCCAGTGACAAGTCTTCTCTCAACACCAAGAACAATCTGTCAACAGCAAGAACACAGCTGCATAAATAGCATGATCGAGATCATCACTCTTGCACTACTTCTCAGCCACACACCAAATAGCCACGCTTGCCAATACATTCAAAAGTGTTTTAATCTTACCTCTATCTGCCTCTAAGAGCTTACGTAGTCGCACATACTAGCATGCGCACCGCGGCATTCATATAAACCAACCCAGTGTATAATTTTTTTCAAACTACCAATCACCATGCCATAGACCTATACGAGGATGCTGCTGGAATTCCGTCTGTTGCTCATGACGTCTCCTCTCCTCATACTATCTGTCGTATGGGAACTCATCACTGTTTTCCGTTACTTTAAAGTGCTGTGGGTGCTGACCGGTGCAGTATAGGTTCCACATTTTGAAGTATGCCCTCTCCAGATTCCTAACCTGTAAAATTCGGAGGCTGTCACATTCTTCTTGTTTACCAGAGATTTGAGACATGGAAATCTAGACATTTACGGAGATTCACCCCCTACATGGGTTATATAGGCTCCGGATGAATGGAAGAGAAAACTTGCGTAAAAGAAATTTATCGATTCCTAGATGCCATGATTGCTTACCCATCTAATGGTGTCGAATAGAGGACAAGTCATGCGGGCTTCCTTCAGCCTATTTGTAAGTGCTTGGAGCTTCAAGGGATTCTGGGCTAGCGCAACTGCCTTCTCTTCATACTCTTTCATGCTAGAACATGGAATCCACGTTGAAGTTACATTAGTTGGTTTAAGGTTTTCGATGGTCAGTCTATAGGAGTTACGAGAGGATGGCAGTCATTACCTGCTCACAATCATCTCCTCCCCAACTCCAGTAGCCAGACATAGTGAACCAGCCACTCTCGTAGCCATTTTCTCCAGTGGCAGCGTTATTATTGGCACGCCAGCCCACAACACATCCGTTCCTGTTGTGTGTGCATTACACAGTGGCCTGCAAATAGAATTTATAAGTAATCCATTTCAAATCCTAATCACCAAATGTCAGCAGTTCTGCCAAGAAGTAATTTATATATGGGAAAACTCACGTATCAAGAAAGAGATCTGCCAAAGCACTGCGTCTGATATGTTCGTTCTTCATAGCGATGTCTGTGAATATGATCTGATCAGGTCTCACTCCTTTTGACGCAGCATCTGCACAGGGCAGTTCTTATAGTAAGGTGAGAAAGACAAAAATTAGGCAGGAGAGAGACAGAATATCGCCGCATCTTTGCTCCATAATACAGTGGCAACCTAAAAATCTACTTACATGCCCGAAGTCTCATCTCTCCAGCTGCGGGAAATCTCAGTAACCATAGTGCACTATTTGGAACACGTTTCAGAATGTTGCACCTGAGATCGATTGAGATTATTAGTGGAGGATTGGGAGAACAATGTCATGTCTAAACATTGAAGCCATGAACTTCAAAACATATGCTTTCATTCCTCCTAGAAATTATATCAAAGTGTTACCATGCGTTAAATAGTTCAGGGTCCATCTTGTAAAGCTGATTGAAGCATGCAAAAATAAATTTATCTTCTGGCAGGCCATAATCTGATCGCTTATGTCGACAGATAGGACTTAAGACATCACGATTTTTCTGATGTACATGAATACCAAAGCAAGGTTAGAATGAACATAATCAGGGAGGGATAATAATAAAATAAGTAGATTTAAGTACCTGCTTATAATCATTCACAAAGTAGCAATGAGGTAAATGGACAAGCTTCTCTGAGTAAATATGTGAGAACCGTGTAGGAGAAACAAACTGCAAACAAATATAATAAGCCATTAAGTAAGCATCAAAGTGGTAGGAGGAGAAAATGTAGAAGGTAAAGATTCCAGACCTCATCAGTAACCAAGTAGTCAATGTACGTTGCACCTGTTGTTCCAGGAAAACCCATGTATGAGACCTGGATTGGTGCCGGCTGCATAGCAAAAACTTCATTTCTTGCACCCTGTAATACAGTCAGATAGCAGAAATGGTTAATAATGTAATTGGATTTGACATCACTCTTGACAATTATTCATAGACATGGTGGCAATTACATCCTAGTCTTCGAAACCATGGACGATGCTCTCACCAAGACACTGACAGAGTGAATGTCAAGCTCACACTAATGGAAAACAAGGTGGCAGAATCAACTCAACTAGATGCTCAACAGATGTGACATCATGATCAAAATCATCCACATAACTAAATAATGGATCCTAATGCTAACAGATTGAAATCAACCTGTGCAGCATTCACTAGTGCATATTCTTTTGCCACATCATTAGAATTGCACTTTGTTAGATACTAGATCCCAGATATGCTATCTTAATCAAATTGACAAAGCCTAAACATATATAGCAACATTTCACCTTGTGAGGGCCAACTTGAATAATTCACAGATTTCCACTAGATTCCCAAATATGGTTTCTTGATAACCTATGACTTTAATATTATACTAAAACCTCTAGAATGCATTCTAGTAAGATTTGTAATTGGTCTTGTTCTTCTTGCTTTGTGATGTTAGTACCTAGCCCTCAGGGGGCATGATGAGTTAGATGCATCACTTTAATCCACTACTAGAAAACTCAAGAATGACTTATACTACGATGTGTATTTGATATTGTTCATCCTAGTCTGTGATGTTAGTACTTGGCCCTCAAAGAACACGATCACTGGCATGCATAATGAAGAAATCTATGCTCTTGGATTCTTTCTTAAGTTGATCCAATAATACAGGTTTAGAAACATATTCGATTAGAGGTCATGCCTTTTTTAATGAAAAGTATTTTCATATGATGCTCATTCATGTACTCAAACCTGAGATCTATCACTTGTGCAACAAAGCACAAACCAACCTGGATGTCTCAACAAAGACGATTAGAGGTCATGTTGCTTCCTTACTGATATTATATAAATGGAAACAAATTGCTGCTTAAGATTCAACAAACATTTATATAGTTATCAAATGAAATATATAAATAGCGACAAATACCTTGGTGTAGCCATTTAGGTTAATTAAGATCTGTATCTTGTCTTCATTGATCAACCTGCCAATCATATCAGATGACATCGAGGAGACATCAGTGAAGTGCTCAGCCTCAGATTGGATTCGTTGCCTCCATTCACTCCCATCATTTGGACTCAAGGCATAGCAGAACACCTGTGCCTAAATTATTAGTTCACACAGAAATTGTTTAAATATAATCATTAGCAAGACAAGATTTAGCCTGTAGAACCTCAATGTTCTCCTTATTGTGCATTCCAAATACTGAGCCCATAAGATGTGATAGAGGATGGTTACCAAAGTCACTACTCACATATCTGGAAAACCATTTGGCATCATGTTACATCAACATAAGCAGTTGAAAGACAATGGAAAACAAAAAAAATTACTCACCCCACCCTGAGCCGCCCACTTCTGCCCTCACTCTTCACAGGCATACGAGGGGGGTGAGCAAATGCAGGAAGCCCATAGCGAGAGGCAATTAAGGAGCAATGAGCTGCATATTTTCGGCTGAAAGACCATTTACCATTACACAAAGTTCTCATATTTAAAAAAAAATGTGGGAAATGAGAAGAAAATTGTTTCACCTAATTTCCAATGCAAGCAAAGGATCAATAGGATATGCAATAGCATGAAATGGTTGCACACTTGGAAGAACTGACATCTGGTAGAACAAGCACAAGCAGTTAATAATGAACACAAAGTCACAAGTTACGACACTAGTATGACTCTTCATACTAAACTGCAAAGTAATAAGATAGTGAGTCAAAACCTTGATCTGCCTTTTAATGATCCCTTCGACTTCAACAAATTTGCTATCCCTACCATCCCAATCACAGACACACTGTTCAATCAATCCAGAAGGAAGATTAGAAAGCTGTATTTTGGGATCATTAATTGTCACCATAAATGTAAATAAATATCTTCAATAGTTCAATGATCCTAATTTTGCATCTGAGTTTGATGAATAAATTAAATAATAACGAAAGGATAGGATGCAGGAGATATTTGACACTGAGTTATGAACTTAATGCAATCTGCCCTGGTTCCTTCAGAGGTCACAATAACTAAAATCAATTATTGCCTGAAGCAGACAATTGCATTTACCAAACCTCAATAGCAAAACCTATAATACTTTCTTTCACAGACTGTCCAGAACAAACTATTGGCCCTAGAAAAAACCAGCTGGAATTAGAAAAGACCAGTGTCACAAACAAGAAGGCTTCTCATACTACCTGTAAGGTATGTAGAAGGTTGCAAGTTGCTTCTGGAAAATCTGGACGCAGAAGCAGGGCTTGTTTGTAACTTCTTAGAGCTTCTTCGACATGTCCACTGCAAAAATTTGTAACTGAAAAAGATAATGCACCATAAAAGAAAATATTTGAGAAGCACAGACCACCCAGAAGATATACCTATCTTTATAAGCAGAAGCTAAATTTGCATGAGCTTCAGCCATAGTGGGCCTAATCACCACAGCTTTAATATAATCCTGAATTGCCTCACTAACTCTGCCCATCTCTTTAAACGTGTTTCCCCTATTGACGAGCCCATCAGCTGCCATAGGATCTATGCGAAGAACCTCATTGTAACAAGCTATTGCATCAGCATAGTTGCCCTATGTGTGGTTTAAAGGAGATTAGAAATTTTAGTACAAATTTCAGCAAATGAAAGTAGCACAAGTTCACCTGAAGTTGAAGTGAAAGAGAAAAACATGGTGAACAACTGGAATCTGACTAGTTATGATTTAGCCAAACGCACATATTCTATAATGCTGAAGGAAGTAACGAAAAGTACCTGTTGTTTGTATATGACTGCTAAATTGTTGTAAGGAGCAGATAAACCAGTTGTTACTGACAATGTTGCTTTATAAAAGGAAGCAGCTGCAGTCATCATATTCCTGCATGAAAGATTTTTTCTCTCTGTAATTTTCCTGAGTTATTTCATGGCACAAAGTCCTTGCAACAAATAGTATTGCTCGAACATCCTCTAAAAAAATGTTCTGAAATCTCACCATTCCATATATATGTTTCCAAGGTTTGTAAGAGCCTGTGGGTGGTTGGATTGAAGAGCAAGACATGACTTCATGTAGAAAAAATGACTGTCAGATACTTAGCAAGATAAGAATAGACAAGACATGAGATGAAAAAGTCAACAAAGTTACCCGATAACAGTTAATGGCTTCTTCCACTCTGCCAGAATCTTTCAGAGCATTTCCCTATGAGAAAACTCAATCAGGCAAACACTCTTCCTTTTGTACAACTATACCAACACTTCATTTTATTTACAACCTACCAGATTATTGTATGCCTCCACGAACCGTGGATCACAAGTTATGGCTTGATTGTAGTGATGAATAGCTAAATCTAGCTGACCTTGCTCATAGAACGTACTAGCAAGATTTCCTGCATCGAGGGTGCAATCCTCTTTTGTATTATGATGTAAAGGTAGTTTCTACTTGTCATATATTCAGAGAACACACTGTTGCTGCCCTTTATAGTAATAAAGTGAAAAAGATAAACAGTAAGTCAGACAAGAACAAATGAAAAGTTCCCCCAGATGGTTAATGATCAACCACAGGAATGAACAAACAGCAAGAAAAGAAACAGCACAACAGAAATAAAATGTGACCAATGGTATAAATTCCAGCCACTATACCAGTGAATACTAACCATAAGCCATGGCATAGTTTGGACGTGCCTGAACAGCATGTCGATAGCACATGATAGCCTCCTGAAGCATTCCCATGGCCTGGAAAAGCCCAAAGGAAGAATGATTTTTCTCCATAAGCAAGACCTTTCCCATTTTTTCCCGCTAATGGAAATTACAATAACATGAAAGCTTACCTTGTAAACATTTCCTTGGTTCAAGTAAGCATCAGCAAATGATGGTTTCAATTTAATAGCTTCCTGAAATAAAAAAAAAAATCAAAAACAGGATGTAGCAAGGAAATGTCTTCTAACTAAAACATTTTTGCTCAGTTCCAAAAAAAATTGACATCAGGTACTAGACAAGAATGTCTTAGAAATTATATATAAGAAACTAAGCAATTCCTTGCAGTAAGAAATATCTTTTGGAAAAGGGATCTCTAATATCTGCAGCACTGTTTAATGAAATTTTCCTGTCAAATTGATTACACATTACTTCCTACAGTTTAAATGTACAAAATCATGATCTTCAGATAATTACAATAGCTTGAAAAAATTGATGATACAAATCAGTCGCTCATGGGCTATTAAGTAGTATAAAAAAATTGATATGTGGAACAAGAAAAAAGCTTTCTCTGAGCTGCTCATTGACAAAAGAACTAATAGAGAATAATATAATGTTTACAAAGGAAATACAATGAAATAAACAGTTAATACAGAACCTTTTTCCCCCAAAAAAGGAGCTGCTGATACATTTTGGATTTGCAATTAGTGACAAAATTACCATTGAACAGACTAAACAGGAACAAGAGTATCCACTGAAGTGTCTCAAAAGTTACATGTACAAGTGCACATTCACTGGGTTTAATGTTAAAACTATTCTCTATCAGATTAAGATCCAACAGCATTCCACAAACTTTTTTCGAAAAAGAATTGAGTATTGGAGCACAAATACAAAAAAGATCAGGAAAAACTATGTTTTTTTCTGAGGTGATATGGCAAGAAAATTGGCTGCACAATCTACTTTTCTCCAAGTATGCATACACTTTCTAAAAGTCATTTTTACCCAAAAAAAGGTATCAGTATATTTTGAAATTTGAAACTTCCAAGCTATATTTCCATGTTTAAATTCTTTGTAGAACTCGTGCATCCAATTCCACCTGTAGATGCATTGTTCTGTCTTGGTGGCCTTCCACCAGGCCTGCTCTTAAAGCCTTCACTAAAATACCTATCATTTAGGTCAGACATCTCCCAAAGAATTACACGTTCAATAGACACACAGAATGTATCATACTGCTGCCAAACTGGCACTCAGCAGAGGTATATCCCACATAACATGCCAATGAAGACACAAAGACCACACAAACATATGAGATGTATCGGGAACAAGGCCCGTGGCACTCAATTCATGCTATGTACCACAACCATGGCTGGCACAGGCATGAAAGCAGCTACATTATCCTTGCAATAGTGTATTAATGATGACAGTCTGGGACAGTATGCCTCTTGAACTATATTGTCCGAGTTTGTGTCTGAAAAAGCTGGATCAAGACTCCAGGTCCACTTGGGGGCTGATAGTACCAAAAATAACTGATAGAAAAACTCTTCAAATGAATTGCAAAATGCTTTTCCAAACAGCATACTATGAGGTGGATCAATCACCTACCTTATAATACATAAGGGCTTTGCTAAGGTCTCCTGCCTCCATGAAGAGCCCAGCAAGATTGGACCATGCAATGGCAAAAGTAGGTTGTATACGCAAGGCCTCAAGATAGCATTTATATGCCTGCACATGCCATCAAATTCTAGGATTAATCATCTGCCTTGTCGCTTAAGTTAAATGACATCACTTGTCTGCACTAAAGCTGAAGGATCCAAAATGATGAAAGAATATTATGTTCACTGAACTGATCAATAAATCCTTCTATAGTAAAATCATCCAATGGATGACTAAAGTAACACACGTAATAACAGTTATCGAAGTTTCCAGTAACTCATTAGGAATAAGAACATTCATTCATAAGCCAAAGATCAATGGTCAATGGGAGGAAAATATACCAAGAACTAATTAAGAGAAATGGAATTGAAACTGCATACCAGCAAAGTATGTCTAATTAAGCAATTATAATAAGTGCACCAACGGGGTAACACAAATTCAGCACCACTGACATAAATGGCGTGTACTTGCCTCGACCATCATGATGACCGAAAAACTTGGATTTTCATACCTCTTGAACAAAGCCTTGAGCTTTCATCAGATTGCCAAGATTACTATGAGCATCAACCTATTAAAAAAATGCAATAATCATCATTGGCTTTTTTTCATACTTAAGTGTGAGACAAAAATGCAACATTACAAAAATTCACCAAGAAAGGGTTTAGCGCAAGGGCCTGCCGACAGCATTGGGCTGCCTCATTGAGTCTTCCTTTCTGCATGTACGCACTTGCCAAGTTTGACCAGGCATCACAGAAGTTAGGCTGAATCTAGGGAAAAACAAAAGAAGACTGATTATATTAAAAAAGAAGAGATATCAATCCAGGTATTCCATTATTTCTTAGAAAAATCAATGATGAAGAACCTGCAAATTTTAAACCAAATACCAGGACTGAAATGTTAGGATCCATGTACAAGGAAGGTTCCTGCTAAGCATGCAATACAACATCCAAGAAGATGGGGAAGAAAAAGTTATAGCTAAAAAATTGTACAAGAAAGAGCAGCCAATGTACAAAAGACAAGTATAATGATTTTAACCTGTAGTCTATCTTATGATGCTCATCCATAAGTCAAATTTAGGCCCAGAGGATAGTCACATAATTTTGTTATCTTCTTAGACTGGTGGACAAGTAAAATTATTAAATTCAATTCTATGGCTTTACTATACATGATGGAATAGGGGAACCTAAAAGAATTTCACAGTTTCTTATGAACCTAAAACCAATGTGCTGCCTCAGTCACATGCACAGAAGTAAATTATTTATGAGATAATCTATACAATGCAATGCTCAGATGATAGAAAAATTAGGAAGAAGAAGAAACTTCCAAACAGATCCTTTGCCAAAGAGATATTTACAATTTTCCCTCAAGCGGGTGACCCTTCACTTCTCTCCTTACTTTTCCAAATTTTTTCTTTTTCTTTTTTTTGTGGTTTTGAGACAAACCTTCACATACAATTTTCCCAAATCTAGTCATTATTATAATAGTAAGTACAACATAAAATGAGAATTCTTCCATAGTAGATGCCTTAGTTTAATGCTACAAATAACATTGATCCCTGCTCTTAATACATCGTGTATACAATCAAATGCCTCGAAAACAAGAGACCCATTTTATGATGTTCTTGCATTCTCAAAGTTTATAAGCTACAATAAGGAGACACTCTCAACTCACTAGACAAACAACCTAATCTGATCACACAGAAAGAGAAAAGCAATGACTTTCAGTATCAATATCCTACAGCTCTAAGAATAAGAAAACATAATTACAACATAATATCATTAATCACTCTCAATCTTTCCCCTAAACATGATCTTAACCTTTTGGAATTATAAAATAGCTATACATTAAACCATGACTAAGTCTTACATGGTACAATTCAGTTTATAATAGTATTGACATTTCTGCGATGACAAACTCTACAACCAATATTAGAAGATTGCATGCCAGAGATCCATTTGACAAACAGGCATCAGTAATTATAAATGTGAACACAAGCTTCTCTTTTAAAGTAAGATGATATCACAATATTGATTAATGACTTCATGACTAATAAAGGTGAACCAATTCATCATGCACTGTAACAGTAAAATATCAACATAAGAAGAAATGGTGAACTGAATTTCAAGAATACCTCAATGGCAGTCAGATAGTAACGAATAGCAAGGTCAACATTGCCTTTTTCCTAAGTAAAAGACAAACATATTCATCAGGTATCAGTGAAGTGCAGCTAAAAAATATTAAGACCAGTATATCAAATCTAAGATATATCCTGAGAATAGAGTTTTCTACTACCTTCAAGCATACATCTTATGAGTAGAGTGTCTTACATAATCCAATCCAAGCAACACAACCACTCGACCATAAACAAATAAAAGAAGGGAAATTTTAGTTCTTTTGTTACCTTCCATGCATTTGCCATATTTCCGTAACACTCTGAAAAATGAGGATCAATACCAAGAGCTTCCTCATTCCTCGCAATACACATGTCATAGTCATGGAGCTGAAATGAAAATAAATAAACAACAGTAGATAAGATTTTCGTTCAACAGAGACCAAATACCTATGAGTCCAGATATGTAATAAATTTAAAATAAATTTCCTCCTGAAGCACCTGGTAGTAGATTGCACCGAGGAGGAGGAGATTGTCCTTCCGCCGTGGATTCCTTTCGTAAACAGCATTGCCATATTCTAATGCCTGCTTGTATTTTGCAGCTTTATAATTCTGATGAGCTATAGCCAAATACATGTCCTCGTCAACTACATCATCCAAGCATAAAAGTCAGGTCACTCTTTGTAGGTCCAACAATTATTTTTCGGCATAAACAATAGATCCTCCCAAAAGATCATGCTTGTTGAATCAAATTACCATCCAAAATTCATATTCTATATCCAATACGAGTTTGAAGCACCCAAAGAAAGAGAATTTTACAACAATGTAAATAAAATCTCAAAATTTTCACTCGAGAGAGGACGTAGACCTTCATCCGACTTCGATCGAGGCAAGCATTTGACATCCACAGCCCCATCCACGGACTGCAGAAGATCCGACACCTCCTCAAGCTCCCCCAGCGAACCCTTAAGGAACCCTAACCCTCCGCCACCACCCGATCCAAATGGCGGCGGATGCTGAGGCGGTGGCGGCGGCGGTGGCGCCGGATGCTGCTGCAGGTGCTGCCTCGCATCGCTCAGCAGCGACAGCATCATCTTTCCCCGAAACGGACACCCCTGATGCGACTCCCAAATCGGCTTCCTCCCGTCACCGAACCAGAGTGCAAGGACGTGAATCCCTCCGAATCCCCCGGACCCAAACAAAGACACGAAAGATTCTCGAGAGAATTCTACTCAAGTGTAGGAGTCGAGGACGAAAGCAACCCTAATTCGATTTGGGTCTGGAGGATCCAAGAACGAGACATCGCTCTCGACGTCTCCGCTTCAACTAAATAGGGACAGTCTCCGCCGCGGGCTGGCCGCCGAGAGATCTCGACCGTCCATTCTTCGACATCTATGATGCGTCGGCCGCCTTCGTGTCATCTGCCCGCGGGTCCACGGCGCCACGCGTCAACTAGGTTTAGTATGCTAGTTGGACGAGATCAGGGGCCAGGATATTCGACCAATTGTCATCAAGCGCGATTCAGCTGACGGTGGATTCTGTGCAAATTGACCACGTGGCGTGCAACCAGTGGCGGTGAAGTCGGATTCGTAGGATGAGTTTGTGGAGACATCCTATTAACAGATGAAGAAAGGTATCTTCGTTGTCCGTTACGTCAAATCTTTGTGTTTGTTTTAATTGCGATTCGAGAAAATGTTTCCACAAGTCAAATGGATCTTCTAATCTTTATCAAATATTACATTTCATTTCTATGTTATATATATATATATATATTACATTTCATTTCTAAGCTTATAATTGGCATGAAAGTGAGATCAAATTACCTCAAAGATCAATAATGAAAACTAATGGTTTTTTTCTTTCATTTCTATTTCATATCACCAAAGGAACTAAAAATCTAACCCACATTTGCCTTCCAAGAACCGTGTGAGAAATCAAGAACTTACTTTACTGATTAGGGTAATTTGAAAGAACATTACTGATTAGATCTCAAACTTGTTTCTTGCTACTCAAGTAAGCTCTATGTATAACCGAACAATGTCTTGCATCTCACCCAAAAATAATCCAAGGAATGATTCATGATTACTTAGCTTTGGTGGAAAGTTAGTCATAGTCAAACATCTTATGGATAGCTATGTGTAGGATTGAAGTAAAGCAGAAACAATCTTCATATGCACAACACTCTTGGATTTGTATTATGCTTACCATTCTTAAGAATCAAGAGGATTGATGAAGGATTTAAGAAGCAGACATGGAGAGAGGCTGCAACAGAGGTGATACTGAATTATTCATAGACAGGTCCTTGTTTATGGTTCCTTGGTCATGATCAATGCAATATCTAAAAGCGACATGATATTTCTGCAATGTGTAGCACAGAAACAATCTTCATATGCACAACACTCTTGGATTTGTATTATGCTTACCATTCTTAAGAATCAAGAGGATTGATGGAGGAAAGATTTAAGAAACAGACATGGAGAGAGGCTGCAACAGAGGTGATACTGAGTTATTCATAGACACAGGTCCTTGTTTATGGCTCCTTGGTCATGATCAATGCAATATCTAAAAGCTACATGATATTTCTGCAATGTGTATCACAGTATATGGAATGAATTGATTATATCTACAATTTTTTTGTTCTTACTGATTGTAAGAACAAATGTTCTGTGAACTGGTTATACTCAGGATTGGTGCAATTGATATTTTGCTCTGCCTACTAAAGAAAAGGACAAGAGTGTAGTAATCTTAATCTTTTGCCCAGTAAATTTATTACTTCACTTCTTTTTTTTTCCTTCTAGAAAACCAGCTGCAAATCTGAGGCCAGAATTAGTCTTGCAGAAATGGATTATGTAAGATCATTTTATTAATGTAATGCTGTTTCATTTGTGGTTTCTTTGTTTGGGGGTCACAGTAGACAAATCTATCTTCAGTCTCTATCAGAAACATTAAATCTGTTTGATACTATGGTAATCTGAAATTAACTTGATCATCGACTAGAACATGAACCATCTATAAACTCCGAAAAAACTTTAATTTTTCTAGCACTTAAATGTCCCCAGAAGATTATGTCCAGTTTAATTAACTGGGGGGAATTGAGAAGGTTTGCCAGTTGGTTGACAGGAATGTCTGAAAGCTCCATGTATCTGAATTTTGCCAGCTTGACTGTAATATAAACTAATATGTCTATATCTGATTTCATTTGGTATGGAGTTACATACATCAAGATTGATGACTTTCCCCCCTACTTCTCAGAGAAAATGGCTCCTAATGGCTTCCATCTGATTTGTGTTGAGATCCAACAAAATGAAATGGTAACTTGTTGATCTCCACTTGCATGATATAATTTCCTTGTTGCTTTGGATGCCAACCAAGCCATTGCGGAGTGGCCAAACCTTATGTTGATGAGAGGCAATGTCCATTTCTCCTATCAGGATGGATGTAGGCAGACCACCAGAACATTTCATTAGGTCTCAGGATTTGATCGAGAAGAGTCTGTCATGTTGAAGAGACCACAAAGGTGAAGGCCTCATCACACTGGCTGACAATGAAGAACACAGATTCAATATTATCCAGCAGATTAAGTTCTTCCAACAGGAAGAACACCATAAAACCATTTGATGCTTGTGCAAATAAGATGTCAGCAAGGATTAGTGACACATGAATTTCCAAGCTTTATCCTTGTTTGGGTACTTCAAACAAGAGGAGCATAAACTTCAATTAATTTTACAGATATATCATACACTTCTTAATCCATAATTAATCTGACAGGACAAAAGAAGAGAGAATTCTAATGCACCATGACCTCCAGGTAAACTGTTCTTCTCTTCTATGAGCTGTAAGCCTTGTTGATAGATCCTTGTCAGATTCAGATTACAGCTTATGCAAGAACTGATAGCTTAAACAAATGGAGTTGCAGGGATGCCTGAATCCTGTGATAGATGTTACGTAAACAGGGAAAATTAAAGGTTGCAGGTTCCTTTGAACTAATGGTTGACTCCATAAGCACTGTTCTTAAAGTGATTCAAATTTCTTCCTCATACATCACAAGAAGCACCAGAAAAAAAAAAAAAAAATCAGCAATAAAAAATTCAAGGCATCTTGATTAATTCATAATGAATAGTTTTATCATGGTAATACAAAATATGATCACCATGCTAAACCCTCCCTCTTACATCTTCACTCTTGTTCTGGCTCTCACCTTGTCACGATCTTACACCTGATGAAAGAATAAGTTTGTCGCCTGAAGTCTGCGGTCGGACCGAATGCTGTTAGTTGAAGGCTTCTTGTGCTGCTCAAATACAAGACTACTAACTTAGTATGAACTCATCCTGCATCAAACGTACACCATAAATTTTCCTATAATCTTCTGTGTTTATGGAGTGACCAAGTTGAACTTATTAGTCTTCCAACTCATTCAGCATTCAAGCTTCGCGAGAAGAACTCGGCTCCCTGGCTCTGCCCAAAGCCCAATTGAACAACATACTGGAGGTCACTTTCCCAAAAGTTCCCAAGCTGAAAAGGCCAGCATTGCTTCAGTCATAAACTTACTCTTCCAACAAACTTTAATCAAGTAATGCCTGTCTGTAGATGTTTAATGACAGCATCATTACCTGAGAGGTGGCATCGGCCAGTCCATCAATAGGACATTGTGGCTGTTGGCCGACGCCAAGACCATTGGTGATGGCACTCTGTAGAGGGCTCCCTTGAGGTCGCTGAGCATATGAGAAAGCTGTGCTTGTTCCTTCTAATGGATAGACTTGCTGTGGCAATGGCTCATGTTCTTGATGCATCTATATTGCAAAGGACAAACTAAGGCAAGCCCAACTCAAATTGGTGGACATCTCAGAGAAAGGATCCGAGAGAATGAATGCAAAGAGCTTACATTTTCTTGGAGGAGAGTCTCCAGGTCAAAATCTAGCTGGGGATTTATGGTAGCTAGCTTCATCGACAAGAACTGAAACCAGATAAATGTAGTTCAGATGGAAATCTAGTTTACTGAGGAAGATCATGTTTTGATCTTTCTTAACGTCTATAATTCTGTACCTCGACTTGCCGCTGCAACGACTGCACGTAATTGATGATCTCATCAAGCATCATAGCTTTGCCAGTTATCTAGTATTCGAAGGCACTGGGACTTCATTAAGATTTCTGTGCTTGGAAAACAAATGAAGCATCTTTGCAGCACAACATTCGGAAAGCTTACCTTATTGCAACCCGGTACGAGATCCTGCAGGAGCTTCATTCTCTTGCTGATCTTTTCTCTTCTGACCTGGTAATTCGAGAAAGAACGCAATGACAAACTTGAAACTAGGAAAAGAGAAAACCGAGAATGATCGAACAACATGAGAAGATCGTTCTTTGCTCACCCTCTCGGCGAGGCTGTGGCTGTCAGTGGCTTGCCCTCTTCTCGCCCTGACATGGATATAGTCCTTTGGGGGCTCCGGCGGCTTGGCATTGTTCTCTTTTCCCTTCTTCTGGCTGGCGCCGATGTTTTGCTCAGTCTCTTGCTTGACTACCGAATCCTCGTCAGCTCCATTATTTTTAGCTGATTTGCATCTCTTCGCATCAGGATGTTCGTCCTCAGCCGCCTGCGATCCAAGAATTCTCATGCTATAGTGTCGAGAAGAGAATTATGCATTAAATCGGAGAAAAAACCCAGTGCAAGTATCAATTTTGAGACGTACTGTGGGAGAATTCACGTTGGAGGATGATAAAGGCGCCTCCTTTCTTCTCCCCTTCGATGCTGCTTTCCGCTTACTAACGTTGTTCGCTGCACCACCTGCCATCGTCCTACCAGACGTCGACGATGGTGGCATACCACCACCAAGCTTGGATCTCATCTCCATCTCCATTCGCTCTGGGTTCGATTTCGATGCGTCCTTCCCATTGTCCGGAACTCCCATCTGCAGCGCACCGGCTGACTTCAGTGAGTGGCTGCTCGGAGCCCTTGACAGATTCCGGGCCACTGGGAGCCCGGATTGGTCCCCGAGGCCGCCGTAACTCCACGCTCCAAAGCAAGAGGACCTCGCGGCCCGCTCCGTGAACCCTGGGTTGGCGGCTAACGGCGTGAATTGCCCGTCCGCCATAGTCCCTGGCATCGGCAGGCCTCCCCCGCCCTGCTGCAGGTGACCCAACACGGGGAGGGTGAGCTTCGGAGGGGAATCCAGCGGCGTGCTGTAACACGAGGTCTGGGAGATCTCCCCGGAGTCGCAGATGCTGCCGAATCGCCCAATGAGCGCGCGGACAACGACGCTACCGTTGCCAGCCGACGGATTGGAGGACGGCGACGAGACGAAGGAGCTAATCGCCGACTCGAACTGGGCGTCGTGGTGCACCGGCTGCTCCCAGCCGAGGTCGAGGAAGGGCCGGGGCAATTGCTCGGCGACGGCGCCAGAGTTCATGTCAGGCGACTTGCAGTCGACAGATAAAAATCGCTCCTTTTCCATTCCTGCGGGGGGAAACTGCGGCAAGGAGCGCGAAAAATGCGGAAAGGAGGTATTTTTACGAAAGGATGGCGGGGAAGAGGAGGAGAGCGAGAGACTTGATGGGCGGAAAGAAGGCGGTGTTGACCTTCGGGTATATATAGAGAGAGAAAGAGAGAGGTGGGGCCGGAAGGCGAGAATAGGGTCACCGCAATTGGCGGTGAGGGAATGCGGGGCTTTGGACGCCAGTGATGGAGGAGCCATGGAAACCAGCGATGGGGATTAGATTGCTTTTGGGGAAGAGAACAAAAAGGTGATAAAGCTTCAACAGAGCAGAGGACTAATTGAGATTGACAAAAAAGATCAAACTCTTCAGATTTAGTAGTGTCTATAAATTGGTGAACTTTTAAGAAAAATCTCAAGCTTTCTTTCTCCTACTTCAAAGTAGAGGATTCAGTGAGAGAAAGACATCAATGTCTTCAATTATAAGAGTGCATAAATCAATAGGTCTCAACTTGTTTTTACAATAATAAAGCTTTATTTTTTCATTATTTCTTACTAGAAGAAGAGAAGGAAGTAAATGAGACTCTGATCAATGCAGGATTTATTAACATATTGTAAGGATATAATTTTATCTCAGTTAAAATAGAAGTCCTCAGAGAATATTAAGGCTTGTTATATGTTGAGAGAGAGAGAGAGAGAGAGAGAGAGAGAGAAGGCTCGAACCCATCAATATGATTAGAGAACTCGTTAGGGAGTTTAAGAAAAGCAATCCAAATTGGATATAATGCACGTTTGAAGAGCACATCCGAATTGTGCAAGTCTTTCTTCAGGTCTGACGAACATCTTCTTCCTGCGCAGGTGAAAAATTCCCAGCTGTAGATTGTAAGAGCCATATGCCATGTTGTTTAAGTTGTGTTCCACATTGCTCATGCGGTGAATTCATGCATACAGAGATCTTTGACTCACCCTCTCCTTTTATGGCCACTTTGAAGCTATGCCAATCTCACCCATGGCAGCAAGAAGGCTACCAGGAAGAACACCTGGTTTGACCAGGGGCAAAATGTGCCATGAAAACAGAATGGATGAATACCATCACCGTCACCTTCCCGGTGGCTGACTCTTTTAGCTTCTACTGTCCCTCAGGCTCTATGCAACACCGTCATGTACCTCTCTCCGTATCCTCTCTTCTAGTTCGTGTCCTGCACTGCTGCTCATCTGATCCATCCATGTGAAACCAGTTCAGAAATGTTGCTTCTGCTTTCTTTTTCTCTGTTTAATCTGCATATGTAGCTCTTGTGAAATGACCGCTGGTGAGGATAAGAAGAGAGCTCTTGGATGTTCAAAGTTTGCTTTGAATTGGCTTTACCAAAGCTTGTACATAAGATCTGGCGATGGGGGCATTCATGAGCTCATTATTTCATGGCTTGATGCATCGACACTCTTCCAGGAAGACTCATCAGCTGTACGATCAGTCTTCACAAGAAACCAAAAAGGATTGAAACTTATGACTTTGCTGTGACACACTTTGAGGCTCTGTCTAAAGCTGTGTTTGTCCCATACCATCTCCATCAAAGAATCCAAACCTTTAATGGAATCTAAATCAAAGACTCCAAACTCCCTGATGTTAGTAGACCACAGTAGAAAAGAATTGTTCATGGCATGTGAAACTTTTGCAGAGAGGATGCGGAAGGATCGATCCAATAAATGTCAAGATCTAGCTGCCACTCTTCTCTTCTCAGCTTCCATTGCTGACCCAGCACCGACCTTGACCACCTTCACCTCAGCATGAGAAGAACTGCTTGCCCACTCCAACAATCCACTCTTTTCCCTTGCTCTTCTCCTCCTCATCAGTGCACCGATAACATCTGCAGAATTTGATGCATTCACTTGCATTCAAGCTTCAATCATGCTCATTTTCAGGTGCCTGCATGCTCAATAACTCCACCAGTATTGAAATGCTGTGAATTATGTGTTTGTGTTGGTATAGTAGCATTGGGAGATGGACAGAGAGGCTTAAAAGAGCTGATGAAAAATGCTGAGAAGAGTACTTAGTTCTGAGATCTGAATCAGAGGATTCACTGAAAACAATGAGACCTGTGTCCAAATAAAAACTGTGGCAGAAAGATTCATGGTTGGTGATGGCATCTTGTGTTCTCTGCCGCTGCATTATGTGTTCTTGATGCTCTCTTGCTGAGTCTGATTTGGACTCTCCAATTGGTTGTTCTATGAAAGGGAAAAGTTTGATTACCATCAATTAACCACATTTCATTTAGCTCTTCAACCTGTATAGGCAAATACATTATTTTTTGAATCTTGAAAGGATAAACAAATAAGAATCCTTTTTTTTTTTTTTTTTGAACATCTCAACACTTCTTAAAAGTACCAAAATCTTTTATGCTTTCATGAGTCAACTGGATTTTTAAGAGGTGGTTGCCTACTTACTCACTGCAAGAATGTAAGAAATGCTAGTCTAGAATTCAATTTAATATGTGCTAAGAAGTGTCACAGTCTCCCATAGCCTTTTGAATTAAAACATAAGACTTCAACACCAAATCTAGAATGGTATTTTGATCAGCAAGTGATAAGTGCAAATTAAGCAACTCACATTCCAAGTGAAGACCTCATACAAACCACTCTTCGAAGTGTCTTCTAAGTTCCTTTAACATGAAAAATATTTCTTTATTTTGACTGTCTTAGAGTTACTTCATGTTAAAGTCATCTATCATGCATGCATTACTGTTATATCTCAATTTGATATGAGTTTCTGTAATATATCAGACTGATAGTAATACAAGCATATCCGATGGTATATCAACCAATACTGCTTGGTATCATCCAAAAAAATTAATAAAAGATTATCTGTAATCTTAGATCAGAATCGATATATATATATATATATATATATATATATATATATATATATATATATATATATATATATATATATATATATA